AAATTTCCCTCTACGTAGTGCTTTTATTACATTTCACAAATTTTGAGAAGTCATGTTTTCATTTTCATTTAATCCAAAATATTTTTAAATCTTTTGAGACATATTCTTTGAGCTATGTGTTGTTTAGAAATATATTGTTTAATCTGTCAGTTTTATAGGATTTTCCAGTTATCTTTTTATTACTGATTTCTAGTTTAGTTCTCTTATAGCCTGAAAGCATAATTTGTATGATTTCTTTTCTTTTGTATTTGTTACATTGTGTTTTGTGGCCCAGAACGTGGTCTATCTTGGACTGGGCTGTTTTCAAGGAGAAAGTTGCCAAGGGTGTATATAGGGCCCAGACAGTTTATCTTAATCTTCATATTAAACACTTCTCTCTCTTGGCCCTGGCACACTATTTGGGCCGGTCTCTTATACAAGGACATCTCTCTATAAGCTGTTAATTACAGAGCTGTTGATGCTGATATAAGTAGTGTAACTGTAAATGAAATACATACAGAGATTGTAGTAGATGACAGACATAAATTTAAAGGCCATTTATTAGACACTTAGTATTTGCCATCACTATTTATTTATTTATTTATTTGCAAGATGGTCAGGCTCTGTCACCCAGGTTGTAACTGTAGATGAAATACACACTAAGATTGGAGTAGATGACAGACATAATTTTAAAGGCCATTTATTAGACACTTAGTATTTGCCATCACTATTTATTTACCCACTTACTTACTTACTTACAAGATGGTCTGGCTCTGTCACCCAGGCTGTGGTGCAGTGGTGCAATCTCAGCTCATTGCAACCTCCGCCTTCTAGACTCAAGCCATCCCACCTCTGCTTCCCAGGTAGCTGGGACTACAGGTACATGCCACCACACCTGGCTAGTTTTTATATTTATTTATTTATTTAATTTTTTTAAAGATAAGGTTTCACCATGATGGCCAGGCTGGTCTTGAACTCCTGACCTCAGGTGATGCACCCACCTCAGCCTCCCAAAGTGCTAGAATTACAGATGTGAGCCACCGCGCCCAGCCTTTTGTTTGTTTTGTTTTTTTAAGACAGAATCTTGCTCTGTGTCCCAGGCTCGACTGTAGTGGTGCGATCTGAGCTCATTGCAGCCTCTTCCTCCTGGGTGCAAGCGATTCTCATGCCTCAGCCTCTCAAGTAACAGGGACTACAGGCACGCATCACTACTATGCCTGGGTAATTTTTGTATTTTTAGTAGAGGTGGTGTTTCACCCTGTTGGTCAGGCTGGTCTCAAACTCTTGACCTCAAGAGATCTGCCTGTCTTGGCCTGCCAAAGTGCTGGGGTTACAGGTGTGAGCCATTGCACCCAGCCTTTTTTTTTTTTTTTTTTTTTTTCTCTGGAGATAGAGTCTCACTCTGTCCAGGCTGGTCTTGAACTCCTGGGCTCCAGAATCTGCCCGCTTTGGTCTCCCAAACTACTGGGATTATGGGTCTGAGCCACCACACCTGACCACTTTACATTTATTATCTCAATAAGTTCTTCCTACAATCCTGTAAGTTGTAGGTACTAGTATACCCTTTTTTACAGATAAGGAAACTGAGGTTCAGAGAGATTTATACAAATCACAGTATAGTAGATAATGACAGGAAGTGTCAAAATCTGCTCGAGTTGATTTTGAAGCCTGTATTCTCTAAAACAAACAAAAAAACAAGCTGTAGGATCCCATTGGCAGACATGGAAAATTAAAGTTGTAATGCTGTGCCTTGGATTAGTTTCTTTCCATGACTCTAATAGCATCACTGGTTAGCAGCAGACATTCTAGTAGTGATGCTAAGAGCACCTATCTTGGAGTTAAAATGTAGGATATGTTTATCTAGCTTAGCATTTCTCAACCAGGAATGATTTTTATCCCCAGGGGTCATTTGGCAATATCTGGAGACATTTTTGGTTGTCTCAACTAGGAGTGGGGTGCTACTGGCATCTAGTGGGTGGAGGCCAGGGATGCTAAATGTTCTACAGTGCACAAGACTCTTCAAATAACGAAATATCTGTCCTAAAATTTGAGTAGTGCAGAGGTTGAGAAACTCTTGAGTCTAGCTTGTTCCATTCTGTTATTACTACATGGGAGAACCTTGAAGCCTTAGAAATCCCTCGGTAGTCTGTCAGGATTTGGCTTCTGAGGCTAAGTGCTTCATTTGTAAATACTTTCTAGCTCAGTCCATTAACCCCCTCTGGCACATTTCCTATGCCTTCATCTTAGTGGCCAGAGGCCTACTAAATGGTTGGGGTTGTTTTAATAACATCAGGCTTTTTCTTCCTGATGTTTCCAAGAGACAGGCTCAGTTGGCCTATAGTGCTTGCAGAAGAGAACCGGGTGGCAGTACTCTAATCTGTTGCTGGTGTCGTTAGCTCCCTAATCTGTATTTATATGGCACAAAAAAAGACTCTCCCTGGTGCCAGGCTTCATTCCTCTTCAGCACCCTGGCACCATTGACAGAGAACACCTCCCCAGTCTCTTTTACACAGTGCAACTCTGCGTGTTTATTTTATTGCACAACTGTTCTCCAGAAGACATTTCTTGAGACATGGACAGTACAGGATGCCTCTGGAGCCGGGAGTTGGGAGTCTTGACAATTTGTGTTCCCATTTGCAGATCCACAGTACTCAAAAAGAATCTGGTATTATTCTTAACTGTTTTCCTGTTTGTAGTTCTCATCCCTTCCCCCAGAATAACCTTTTACAATATGAAATTTGTTTCTTCAGTTTATTTTCTACCCTCTCTTAGCAACTAGCATTTTTTAAATTATGTACTGAGAAAATGAACTTACCTTCTACCATGTGGGGTTATATGCTTTTCTGTTAAAAGCTGGAGGAAACGATAAGGAACTAAAGTGATTTGAGAGAGACTAGTGGTCAAAGAGGGGTGTCACCCATCTTGATAAGCAAGCCCAGGAAACAGTTTGGAAGCTCAGTGGAATTGAGCCTGGATCAGAATGAAATGGAATAATTCCTTTCAGGGAAGTGGTAGATCTTGTAACTAAAAAATGATTTTCATTATCAAAAAGGCATAAAAAAATCAAGAAAGTTCCTTTTAATAAAGTCCTTCAGGTATCTTGCCCTCCTCATGACCCAGAAGTTCAGCAAAAGTCAGATACCATTATTACATGGGAATTTCTGTGAAGGTTAAAGCAAGGGTATATATTTACCTCATTTGAACGATACGCCATAGGGGTCTCAAATAGAGATTTCAGATCAGTGGACTCACTGGCAGCACCCCCAAATGCTGTCGTTCTCAGGCCTTAGGGGGAGATCATGTCTGGGACCATGTTTTTGAATCGGCAAGGTTTTCAAGGATGTCTTGTTTTGGGGGTATCCATTTATTTAGAACAGTTTGTTTTAACCTTTATTCCATTATTGCCCCCCTAAGGAACATTTTTAGACATTTTTTCCCTAATTGTCTCCCCTCCCATGAAATTTTAATATCACAGATACAATGCGTATCTGTTTATATACTCTGATGCTTTGGAGGGGAACAAATGATTGCGCTAAGGTTTTTAAAAAAAAAATTTTTGCCCCCATGAACCAATTTTTACTCCCATGGGGGTGATATTCCCCATGTTGAGAATACATGATCTAGAAGTATCATCATTTGGAAATGAACTGTTATTTGTACTTTTCCTTACAAATTGAAAATGGGACAAGGACAAGACTATCAATAAATGAATGCTGAAAAAATTAGTCTTCTGACACAGTGGCTAGCAGCAATCGGAAAAGAGTGAAGAGAGTACTTTCCCCATATTTCTTGGCTTATATGGAAGTTTTCTCTTTGGACTATTCTTGATCATTTGAGGAAAGAAAAGGGCAACACCAGGAGTAGCAGTGCAATAAATGCCGCCCTCTAAAAGAAAAAAACTACAGTTCACAAGATGCTTCTGCAGTGATGTGCAGAGGAGGAAGACTAAGTGATACTGAAGAATCTAGGTATCAAATTGTCCATTGTTGCAAGGCTGGTAAGCTCTAACAAGTTCAGTTTCTCAAGGAAAGGCTTTGATTTACAGCTGAAAATACCATTTAGGTTATCTAGCATATAAGAATGTTCTATTCTCACAAGAGGGTTTGACTCTGTCTGATCAGAAGGAGGGTGGTTGTGTATGAAATGCACCTCAGAAGGAGGAGGAGAAAATGACATGTTCATGTACATGAAATACAACTGCAAATTAAAGTGTCACCCTGTTAAAAAAAAATCAATTTTTTATTTAATTGGTTACCAAGGAAGAAAAATGTCACACAGAAGAGTATATCTCAGAGAAAGTTAAACCCTGAGATGTTACAAGCAAATGTGGATTCAAGGAGGTTCTTAGGCGGTAGGTATTATAAAAGATGGCCTTAATAAAAATATTCTGATGCTGCAAAGCGAGGCTCATAAATTTTTATTGTGTTACATGCCAGGGGTCCAGAAGAGATGAACAAATATTACCTCATTTGTTTTTTCCTGTCTGTTTCTATCCAGTCAGCTGTATAGTAGTTGTCTCTTCCCTGGAGGAAGCCTGTTTTTGAGATGTCCTCTTAGGAAGAAGGTGATAAAGGAGGAGATACTTTGTCTGAAAGAGAGCTGCTTACTATCTAGACATCCAGGGACTGAAATGCTACTGGCTTTTCTGTTAATGGTGTCTTCCCATTTTTCATTTTTCTTTTCCCACATTTTTGGGAAAATTCACCTGTCTCTTTAGCTGTCAAGCCTAGCAGATCGGGTATGTACAGTACCTGGCATGTTGTTGGCACTAAATAAATGTTAAGTAACAATGGGAGGAGCTGATGAATGGGATTATATTTCCACATTGAATTGTTCCCTGACAAACATGTCTGGTTTTTCTTTGAGACAAAGACTTGCCAGGTGGGACTCATTAGCTTTCTTCAGCCATAGTCTAGTTTTTCCTCTTCTCTCTCCCCTGCTAATCCCAGTATTGTTTTATGTTTTGCAGTGGAAAGTGGATAAAGAATATAATGTGCTATCTTTGACTTCTTCCTCATCAGGAGCAGTGATCGGTGATGGACAGTCCGCCGTGGCCAGTAACATTGCCAATACTACCTACCGGCTCCAGTGGTGGGACTTCACTAAGTTTGACCTCCCAGAAATCAGTAATGGTAAGTCAATGTCAAATGAGGGTATTAGTGGAAGGGTTATATTTACTGGTGAGCCAGAACTCAAAAATTCATGGAGCACTGGGTTTTCTGTCATCCCATTGAGTGGTTGTGTCTTCATGCCATTTCTGCACCTCTTCTGTAACTCTCTCTCTCTCTCTCTTTTTTTTTTTTTTTTTTTTTTGGGACAGTCTTGCTCTGTTGCCCAGGCTGGGCTAGGGTGCAGTGGCATGATCTTAGCCCACTGTAACCTTTGCCTCTTGGGTTCAAATGACCCTCCTGCCTCAGCCTCACAAGTAGCTAGGATTACAGGTACATGCTACCATGGCTGGCTAACTCTTGTATTTTTAGTACAGACAACGTTTTACCATGTTGGTCAGGCTGGTCTTGAACTCCTGACCTCAAGTGATCTGCCTGCCTTGGCCTCCCACGGTGCTGGGATTATAGGTGTGAGCTACCACGCCCAGCCTGCAACTCCCAGTTAAGCAATTCAGCAAACATGTCTTGCACCCACCCTCAACAGCAAACAATGTGAAGCACTGAAATAGACACAAAACAAAGGTTTCTCTGCTCTGAAGAGTTTGTGGACTAGTAGTTCACTGGCCAAAACCTAAAGTTTAGGTGGAACTGAAAAGAGGAGAAAGAAAAGGGAGTGCAGGATCCAAGAGCTAAACCTTGTGACCCTTTAGGAAAGACTATGGTGATATTAATTATTCCAGATCTTAATGGACTTAAGTATTTGGTGTGGTTGATATCTGATTTACAAACATGGCTGTTTGTTTCCTTGCTTCTAGTGAAGTCTGCAGTCTACATCCCAGTTGTTCTACTGGAATCACAACATTTTAGACCTCTCATTTCACTTTCTATCTCGTAAAAGGCCCTCTCTTACACATTCCTAAGTGTGATGATGGTTCCCCCTCCGCTTGACAGCTTCTGATGACAGACCACACTGACAAGATGGCCTGACCATCACTGCTAAATTTGTGTTAAAATATTCTTTCAGGCTGGGTGCAGTGGCTCACACCTGTATTCCCAACACTTTGGGAAGCCAAGGTGGGTAGATTGCCTGAGCGCAGGAGTTCTCAACCAGCCCGGGCAACACGGTGAAACCCTAGTCTCTGCCAAAATACAAAAAAAAAAAATAGCTGGGTGTGGTGGTGTGCACCTGTAGTCCCAGCTACTCAGGAGGCTGAGGCAGAAGAATCGCTTGAACCTGGGAGGTGGAGGCTACAGTGAGCAGAGATCATACCACTGCACTCCAGCCTGGGCGACAGAGTGAGACTCCGCCTCAAAAAAAAGAATTTATTTTGGCAGCTCACACCTGTAATCCCAGCACTTTAGGAGGCCGAGTTGGGAGGATCACATGATCCCAGAAGTTCACGATTAACCTGGCCAACATGGTGAAACCTCATCTCTGCTAAAAATATAAAAATTAGCTGAGCGTGGTGGCGCTAACCTGTAATTCCAGCTGCTTGGGTGGCTGAGGCACAAGAATCACTCAAGCCTGTGCGGCGGAGCCAAGATCACATCACTGCACTTCAACCTGGGTGACAGAGTGACACCCTGTCTTTAAAAAAAAAAAAAAAAGAAACCCAAAAGCACAGTTAATTGGGCATGGTCACGTACACCTGTAGTCCCAGCTACTTCGGAGGCTGAGGTGAGAGGATCGCCTGAGCCTAGGAGGTTGGAACTGCTGGGAGCCAAGATCAACCATTGCACTACAGCCTTGGCAACACAGCAAGACCCTGTCTTTAAAAAAAAAAAAAAGGTTCTTTTTTTCACACTGAGCCGCCATTTCCCTTGTTGTCACTTCCTCCCATTGGTCCTAGTTCTGTCTCTGAATCTCTATAGTATAAATCTCATGATGATGCTTTCAAGTGACAGTCCTCCAACTATTTAAGCTAAACTTCCATTTTCCATTAAATCTTTGTTGAAAGGTCAAACCTCCTTAGATTCCTTTCACTGATTTCCAAGTCCTTGACAGTTCTGCTCATCTTAACTTTTAACTTTCAGTGGAGGGGGGCAGAACAGATTAGAAAACTCTAGATGTGAGCTGTCGAATACAGAGTACAATGGTGCTTCCGACACTGTTGGCTCTGTGGTTTCAGCAGTTTTTTCAGAAGCCACTCGAGTTTTTAGTCACTTAGAATTTCTTGATAATTGTTTTTAAACCAGGACTCAACCATCCTGTACTTGTACAGCTTAATCTTTTAATAATGAAAACAGATTTGTATTTGTTTCTATTCAATTTTTTCTTACTGTCAGCTGTAGTTTCTTGTTCCTGCCACTGATTATCTGCCACTGAACTTTGTTTTAGTCCCTCTTTCTTTCTTTCTTTTTTTTTTCTTGGTTTTTTTTTTTTTTTTTTTTGTAGAGACAGGGTTTCACCATGTTTGCCAGGCTGGTCTCAAACTCCTCAACCTCAAGTGATTCACCTGACTTGGCCTCCCAAAGTGCTGGGATTACAGGTGTGAGCCACCACACCCGGCCTAGTCCCTCTTTCTCAATATTCCATTGTCTACTAATTCAGTAAACATACTCTTCTGTCTTCCTTCAGATTGTTAGCAGAAAGTAGTGAACCAGGCAGGGCATTGCACCAACCCTTGTGGTATGTTACTGTGGACTTCCTCTGTGTTGATACTGGTTTATGAATTAGCACTCTGGGCTTGGTTGTTCATATTTGAAGTCAACATTTTTCTATCTTGTCTGTATGATATTATAAGACTTTGCCATTTGCCTTAAAATAATTAAGATATTCTCTGTCTGTGGCATTTCCTGATATGCCAGTCTTGGTATCTTTATTGGACAAGGAAAATCAGGTTAATTTTTCATGTCCGGTCTCAGTGAAACTTCAGTAGCAGTCATCCATTTCTAAGTGCTTATAGCCCACATGTCCAGTAATTCATTCGTTAACTCTGCTGGGAATCAACCACAATCCACCTTTTTCCTTACTGAAAATGAAGTTTGCTTATTCATCTCTAGCTTTCTAGACCATAATTTATTTAAAGTTAGCCATAATTTATTTAAAGTTATATTGTTTTGTTATTTTGTCACTTTGTCTCTTTGTCATCTGAAATTGATATTACTGTTCAAAAAATTTAACATTATAAAAGAATAATACAGTAAGAAGCCCCCCAGTCCTACCAGTCCTTCCCATATGTAACCACTGTTAGCAGTTCCTTGTATATCTTTTCAAAAATATTGTATGTAAATACAAACAAATGCAAATATGTGTTTTTCTGCCTTTTATTTAACCAAAATGGTAGCATGCGGTATGTACTTGTCTATACTTTCTGCATTTTTTCTTTGCAGTAGAGCTCAGTGGTCTTTTCATATCAGTACATAAATAACTTATTTGTTCTTTTTTATGACTGCCTAGTATTCCATTGTACGAATGCACCATAATTTTCTAAGTAGTCTACTATTAAAGAACTTTTAAGTCGTTTTCAATCTTTTGCTCTGCAAACTGTGCTGCAGTTTATCGTTTTGCACATGAGCAGGTATAGCTCTAGGATACATTCCTAGAAATGGAATTGCAGGGAGGAAGGGTGTGCATTTGTAATGTTGGTAGTTATTGCCTGCCACACTCTATACAGCTTGTGCCAAATTATTATTCCACTTGCAGTTTATGAGAATGCCTGATTTCATAAACTCTTGCTAATAGAATGTGCTGTCAAATTTTTTGATATTTGCAAATCTGATAATGTAAAAAAAAAAAAAAGCAGTATGTGGATATTTAAAATTTGTATTTTTCATGTTAGAAACAAGGTTGCATGCCTCTTCATACACACAGCCATTTGTGTTCTCTTCTTGACCTGTCCATGTGCTTTACCAATTTTTCTATTGTGTTACTGGGCTTTTCCTTAGCAATTTTAAAGGAGTTCTTTATAAATCAGAAAATTAACTTATAATAGGAGTTTCCTACTTGTCATTCGAGTTTTGACTTTGCTGAAGGTTATTTTTGTCATAGAACTTATTTTAAGTAGTCACAATTATACAACTTTCCTTTTATGGTGCCTTGGTTTTGTGTCATCATTAGGGAGATCATTTAGAACTTTTATATTTTAGTTTTTTAATAGTTAAGTCTTTGATTCACTGGGAAATTTGGTCCCAAATAATCAGGGTATGATCCAACTTTTCCCCCATATGGCTACTCACTTGTCCCAACTAATGAATAATCCATTTGTCTCCATTGATTTGGGATGTCATCTTCGTCATCCTATTAATTCTTTTCTGTGTTTAGATATATTTCTGGACTCTCTGTTCTGTTCTAGTGATCTGTCTGATTATTCATGTGAAAGTTCCACATGAGTTTAATCTTTGAAGTTTTATGTTTTATTTTACTTATTATTTTTAGGCACAGGGTCTTGCTCTGTTGCCCAGGCTGGAGTACAGTGGCGCCATCATATCTCACTGTAAACTGAAACTCCTGAGCTCAAACAACGATCCTCCTGCCTCAGCCTCCTGAGTAATTGGGCCTACAGGCACATGCCACCATGTCTAGTTGATTTTTGATTTTTTTTTTTTTATAGAGATGGGGTCTTGCTGTGTTGCCCAGGCTGGTCTCAAGCCCCTGACCTCAAGTGATTGTCCTGCCTTGGCCTCACATAGTGCTAGGATTACACATGTGAGCCCAGCCTGATTCTGAGTTTTGCTCATGGGTTCAGCAACCACCAAGTTGATTTATGTGAATTGCATTTAACCTTTTCCTGGAACTAGGCTTAAAGACCTTGTCATCTGCTTCTCTCACTTGGGATTTGAGATTAATGAATTACTAGCTGTAAAGTGTTTCGAAGTTTATGAATAAGGCCTCATGCATAGATAATTTTGAAATTGCTTTCCTGAAAAAAGTGGCACATTAGATTCACTATGATTTTTAAGAGTAAACTTCTGCCGGGTGAATGGAATTGGTCACTAGGCTGTTCTGTCAGAATAGGCCTTAAGAAACCCAGTGGATGAGTGATGTGGGGCAGGCCATACCACAAGGGACATAGTGCCTTCAGGGAGTATTTATGGGTCATCTGGAGCTCTGTACAGGTCTTATTCTGAAATCCAAGGGGCTCAGAGATAGCCAAGAGGAAATTTTTCTGCTGATTTAACCCCCCTTGGGTTTTCCAAATCGGTATCTAATGCATTTGCAAAAGCACTGCAGCTGCTAATCGCTCCCATGGCCTCATCTGGCCAGCCAGCAACAGGCTACAAATCGATCTTCGTACAAGGTGTTTGTTTATAATTTATGGAGCTGATAGGAAAGCATAGCCATCTGCTCCTCCAGGCATCAGTATTTCTAACCCCTCCCATTCCCTGCTAGGGCATTTTCACTTGGAAATCATTTCTAATTGGGAGGAGATTACATTGCAGAGTCTGGAACATGGCTTCCTGCTGTCTCCTGCATTGTTTTTTGTCCCTCTGGAGCTGCCCCCTGAAGTTCTTGAGCAGTTTTGATTTGAAAATCCTTTCTTTCCTAACCTTTATTTCCATTCTTTACTGCCCAGCTAACTACCCATCATTTTTTCCAATATGTATTTTGCCAGTTGTTGGAGATATATCTTGGGGACTAAGGATTATTTGACAAGGCAGCATTTCTCAAGTGTAGTCCCAGTCCTGCAACATCAGAGACACCTGGGCATTTGTTAGAAATGCCAATTCTCAGGCCCCTTCCTAGCATTCTGCATTTTATTTAATAAGCCCTCCTGGTGATTTTGATACATGTTAAAGTTTGTGTACTGCTGGGGTCATGCAGGGTATGGAGCACAACAAAGACTACTAGTGGTGTGTAAGCTGCCAGTGTCTTCGGTTATATTTCACTTCTTTTTCTCCCTACCTTACATGATTGTTGAATCCAAAAAGGATGAGTTAGCTGTCCTTTGTCATTAGTACGTTACTTTCCTGTGCCCTAAGTAAACAAGTAATTGAGATCCAAGAAATCTCTTCCGGTATGAATTAAGTCATCAAAATCTCAACCTTACAAGAGAAAGCTGCGCAAGTGAATTGAAGCAGTGACACTTATGATTGTAACTGACCATTTCCTTTTCCACATGCGAAATTAATAGACAACAAGCAGCAAATGTGACAATGAAATTGTAAACAGAACCCAGTGCAATGGAGCTACCAAATCACTCTAGGCCTACCACATCCCATTAGGGTAGAAGTAAAACCCTGAATCATGAGCTGCAAAATTTCTGAAACTGAATATGCTACTGGCAAAGCTGTTACAATTTTTAGCATTTTTTTATTTTTCTTTTTTTTTTTTTTTTTTTTTTCCTTGAGACGGAGTTTCGCTCTTGTTACCCAGGCTGGAGTGCAATGGCGTGATGTCGGCTCACCACAACCTCCGCCTCCTGGGTTCGAGCAATTCTCCTGCCTCACAGCCTGCCGAGTAGCTGGGATTACAGGCGTGCGCCACCATGCTCAGCTAAAACGGGGTTTCACCATGTTGACCAGGATGGTCTTGATCTCTTGACCTCGTGATCCACCCGCCTCGGCCTCCCAAAGTGCTGGGATTATAGGCGTGAGCCACCACGCCCAGCCTTATTTGTCCTTTTTACATCTCTGTGAACTCATTGCAGTAGCCAGGAAGAGTTGTGAAGTTGGGCGGAGTCAGGGGAGAGGGCAGAATTTCGGAGATAGCTATTGACCTGGAATCCTCATCACATAATACAAATACAAGCACAGTGGCCTGGATTTGAGGCTGACAAAATGTTTTTGGTTCATATGCCCAGTTTTTCAGGGACTTTAGAGCCAAGCTTTCCAGAAGAAGGAAAACCTTACTTGTACTCTCGTCTGTACCTCTTGTCTTCATAAGCAGTTAAATGCTTTTTCGTGTGTTGGTGATGAGTTTTGAGGATTTCTGTAGCCTTCTATATGTTTGAACCAAAATATATGTTAACACACATGAGGTAGATCTATGTAACAGCAAGATAGGAAAGTCTACTTTGATAACATACCCACGATACATTTTTGAGACATTAAATGTGGATAAGATGGTAACTTTTCGAAGCTGTCTTAAAGCCCATAGAGTCCCATCTCCTTTCCTGTTTACTTTCATGTACTACTTAATATTTATGATTTCTTTATTTTCTTTCTCTTCCTGCTTTTGGTGGTTAGAGTGTAAATCGTTAAGTTTCTTTTTATTTATCTGAGCATTGTCAGCCTCAGAGTTAGAAAACCAAGATGGTCTCACTTCTGAAACTTCTCCCAGTTCCTTTGGTTCTGTATGCCCAACTGGATTCTTGTGTTGATCCAGAAATGGAGAGGGATATTGCCTTTTTTTTTTTTTTTTTTTTTTTTTTTTTTTTTTTGGCAAAGGGCTTGGGACCCTGAGTAAATAGCAGACGGTCCCAGTGCTAACTAGATAAATCTAGCCTTACAGGCTAGAACAGATGGTGGGTTGGGAGTTGAGCAGTAGAAAGGCCTAATGGTGATAGCAATGAGTATTTGGATGTCATTATTTTATTAGTTAGCAAACAGAACCATCCTTGTGGTTGTTCCTTGGCTTTATGTGTAATGATGCTGTAGGTGTCAGCCCCCGAGTTGGCACAATAGCCTAATCAGTGTGTTCTGATGCCTTTTTCGATATACACGGTCATCTCTGTAGCTTCGTTAGCAGCACACAGGAAAAGGAGAACAAATAGAGTTTTACAAATCACTAAGTGAGATTGCATAAGCCTGGAGGCCTCTGAAAGAACAATTCCTTGTTTTATTTTTCTTGAGGTAATTTCCTAGAGAAAGTTGCCCTTTAGGGTTTTTTTGGCTTACTGTAGTAGATCACCTGGACTCTGGTGAGGGCAGCTGAGCTTGGCTTTTAAAAAATTACCAGGATGCCTCTGTCAGTGGACAGCTCCTTAAAATAAGAGAAACAGTAAAAACTTTCTTTGCTTGTGGTAGATCTAAATGAGACAAAACCCAGAGGAGCTTGGTCAGTTTGAATGTGTTGTGCCATTCTGCCTGGGGCCATGATGTGGCCACTCTTGTTCTATGCTCACATCAAGGGTAGGCCACCACCTCCTGGCAGGGAATCACACAGTGGGACTCAGAGAGGGATTCAAATGAAAACCGAAACAAGGCCTTTAGGCACAGTGCCAGTTAACATCGCATTGGTCCTATCGTGTGGAGTGGATGCTCCTCACCAACAGACATTCCTCCACCCTCAAATCCTGCCACCTTACCAGGCTGAGCCTGCTGCCTGCCTGACGCTGCACTTTGTTCTCAGTAACTGCTAAGTGTAGACTAGGGCTGCCATGGACATTGGCATAGAGCATAGTGGGAAATGAAAAGAGCCCTGGCCATCCAGCCGCAGCTGGGCTTTGTTCTTTGTCCTCTCTTGGTAGAGTTAGAGGTTAGTATTAGGAAGGAGCTGTTCCAGAAAACTGATCTCTAGATGTTCCAGTTCTCTTTCTCATAAATGAGAAAGTAAGACACAAATTTGTGAAATGACTTTCTTCTCTAAGGTCACATAACAGGTGTTGAATAGGGTTCCTGCCCCAAGAAAGCTCTACCTGTATCACCTTTTCCTTGGAACCAGTGGGTTTGGATTTTCATTTATCTTAGTTTTGATATCTGGGACAATAGCAGCTGTTAAATGGTTCTCTAGGAATAATTTTTAATAACTTTTTCCTTATCTAATCTCTCAAGCGATGTTTCCTAAGTATGAACTAAGACTCAGCAGATGGTTGTGGTGGTGCTGACTATCCTGTAGTTTCCTACTAAAGTGGGAGAAGAGACATATCTTACTTGCCTCCTATGTTTTGTTCATTTGACATTTTAGTTTGAATGGGAAGGTATCCTTTAGCATTTCTAGACCAGGTTCAGGACCTCAGGAAGGCCCTTAAATTTTTGGCCCCAGAATTTTCACAGTATCAACTCCAGAGTTTCTTATCCGCTTTTCTTTCTTTGATGCAGCCTCCATGAATGTGCTGGTGCAGAATTGCAAGATCTACAATGATGCCAGCTGTGACATTTCTGCAGATGGCCAGCTCCTGGCAGCTTTCATCCCCAGCAGTCAGAGGGGCTTTCCCGATGAAGGGATCCTGGCAGTGTACTCCCTGGCCCCCCATAACCTGGGCGAAATGCTCTACACCAAGCGATTTGGTAAGGGATAGGAAGCCCAACCTAATGACAGAGGGACGCTGGTGCCTTGGCATGGTCATTCCTAGGTGAGGCATGGCTTGGGTGGGACTAATGGTCATATACTGCCCCTACCTTCACTGGGGCACAGGCCAGAGAGAGATGGCTTTGCAGGAGTCCTGGCTACCTGGCTAGTAACATTGCAGAAGAATCTCAGGATTAGAGTCCTACCGCATGCTCCTGTTACGATGGCCAGGAATAAATGGCACACACACATGCCAAGACAGTTTGGGACTGTGTATTTCAAGCCTCCTAAAATGTGTGAGCTCTTTGATCCAGCAGTCCAACTTTTAAGGAAATAATCAGAAAACTGTACAAAGCTTTACATACAAGGGTGTACACAGCAGGGTTACCATACAGAAAAATGTCGAATTGTTGCCTTGAGAGTGTTTTGTTTTGTTTTGCTGGTGTCACCTTGGGTTGAATTTAAGTAGTGTTGTTTTGTTCTTTTTTTTTTTTAAGAGTTGCCTAAACAAATGATGGTGCAGTGATAGAATTGCTCCACTGGCCCTTAAAATGCTGTTATAGAACAGTGTTCATAATGTATTTAATGAAAAAAGTGGGTTTCAAAATAGTAATTGCAGGATGTTACCAGTTTTTAAAAATGGGTTATATGATAACAACGGCTAGCATTTATTAAGTACTTCTATATATCAAACATATAGACAGGATCAAAGCATCTCAACAAGGGTTAGCTCAACCTAGTGTCCAGGGCCCTTGGCCAACTCAGTATGTATATACCTTCTTATCGCACTACTCACCGCCGTCCTGTGAAATAACCCCAGGATGAGCAAGTGAATATGAAAGATAGGAGAAAAAGAGAAGAGTGAGAGTTAGAGTTGTTTCCTTGGAATGGCAAGAATACTAGGAAATATCTCTCTGTTCTGTTGGCTCTCAGGTCCTAATGCCATTTCGGTGAGCCTGTCCCCAATGGGCAGATATGTAATGGTGGGCTTGGCCTCACGAAGGATCCTGCTGCACCCCTCCACAGAGCACATGGTGGCCCAGGTCTTCAGGCTGCAACAGGCCCATGGTGGAGAGACCTCCATGAGGGTGAGTGCCATTGCTTGTGCCTTCAACTGTATGGCAGGTCTCCTAGGCTTGGAAGGGTAATGAGGGACAGTGGTGTGATCTCCCAGCCAGGACCGGAGCTATCACACAATCATAAGGAGTAAGGAACAGCTCCAATCAAGCCCATCTATGACCAGCAGGCTTCATTTGTAGAAGCTCTGGGCTATCAAAGGCAGGAATTTTCTCATAGCCCAGAATATGTGCTGCATTCCCCAGAGACCTGAAAGTATCTTCAGATAAACTGAATACTTCCTTACCTCTGCATGAAACTTTTAATCTGGAGATGCATAAAGAACTTGGTGAAATGCTTATTTTTAAAGTTTTTTTTTCTTTTCTTTTCTTTTTTACGGAAACAAGCTGTAAAAAGTCATAGAATGCCATGAAATGTTCTTTTCTGTGGGTTATAATTATGAGGGAAGATGAAGACTTTAGGCAGCTGCTGTATTCTTAATCATCCCATCCACTGCACCAGTGGAGAAAAGGTCCTATCTAGGACCCTCTCTTGTCTGAGGTGTGTCTCTCTTGTATTGCCATAAAAGCCTTCTGGACATCCTGTGGTTTGTGGCCTTTTGACCTCAGCCAGACTAATGTGCCTGAGTGAGCTTCCCACATCCCATGGGTGCTCATTTAGCCAGGGTTTTGTCAAGGGGAGTCAAGCATTTCAACAGTTATCTAATTAGATAGTATTTAAGCTTTGTCGGAAGCTAAGAACCTGTGAATTCCCTTAATACATGGTGCAGTCTGTACCATTTATAGTTTGATGTCCTTGTTGGTCTGTTTTTTGTCTTCTTTAGCTGTGTGGTGTATATGTTTAATCCACGCAATTTGTTTCAGTGTAAGCTTCTTAGGGGGATATCCCTTAGGGTCCCTCATTTAGTGCTGTGCATGTAAATGGTTGTTGAATGCCTGGAATGGGAAGCATTTGTTTTAAAGAAATAACTAGAGATAGAACTCATTATGTACGAAGTGATAGAAAATGGGTGGCACGGTGTGGTCCTCTCCTCTCCAGCCTCTTTTCCCTCCTGTCTCTTACAGATATCCTCTGGCTAATTACACTGAACCACTTTCCAAGCTTCTTGAATTTGACAAAGTGCCTTCTTGCCAGGGTACCTTTATTTGGATTGCCCTCCTGTCCCCCATCTCCAACTACTTGCAAGCTTTTCACTTTCTGTGGCATCTTTCTTAATAGAACCGGTCATTCCCCCTTCTGCTTTCATTGTACCCCTGACACACTCATGTCAATACTAGTCACACCAAACTGCAGTTATTTGTTTCTATGTCACTCTCCTCTCCTGGACTCTGAGCTCCTTGAGAGCAGAGACTGTGTCTGTTTTATCTTAATGAAGTCCAAGAACTTCATAGGGAACCTAACACTTAGTAGAACGTGAATGAATAAAAGAGAATCTCAAAAAAAAAAAAAAAAAGCATCCTCCTTATCATTTCTAGGTGGCAACTAGCAGAACCAATGATGGGTAATAACATAACATCATGGCCCACCAAGCTTCTGAGAGGGAAACAAGTCATTCCTGCTCTTGATATCACAATGACAAGAAAGTTCTGATCTTGAATTCAGTATGGCTAGAAATATTTGACATTGGGTGAGTAGGAGAAGTCATTGTGGGATGTTCATCAAGCCTATTTTCTTATCTAGATATTTGAGGATGGAAGCTTAGTTTTCATTTAAATCTTTTGCTTTTCTTAAGCAGACTTGGCTGGTAAAAGTACCTGGTCTCTGCTTTTCGCCACCTGGAATCCCAGTCCCAACAGCTGCTCTTCTAAACCTTCCAGCCTAATTGGGAATAATTGTTTATAATCATTAAGAGACAGGATCTGATTTCAGTAGCTCTGACAGACCTCTCTAGCCTCTCTTGTAAAACAGGGCTCTTGCCTGACTCCTGCACATAGCCTGCCAGTACTAGCACAGTTTCACTTTTCCATAAGTAGCCAGAAACATCTGGCAGAAGACAACAGTTACAAAGCAGAAGCCAAGGTGGTGGGATCTGTTGTCACATATGGGGCTGGCAGCTCAGGGAATGCGGTTAGAGAACTCTGCTGAGGAGATGTGGTAATCCAGTCAGTTCGTGGCCGTCCTGCTAAGGGGCACAGGCGGCTAGGCTAGCCAGCACTTTGGTGACTGGAGCTACTGCCAGGCTACCCAGTGAGCCTTTTTTGATTTTCAGTAGGGGTACCATCTGCCTCTAAGCATTAAGAAAAGGAGCTGAAATACCTAGAAAGTTCCCATTTGGGAAATGTTCCTGTCACCCAAGAGACAGGATCAAGGCATCTCAAAAAGGTTTAGCTCAACCTCGTGTCCACCCAGTCTGACTTTAAACCCCCATGCTACAGAAAGGTTTCTGGTTTTCCAGGTCTTTGTTGCCCCTTATGTCCAAAGGTAACCAAAGCACTCAGCAAATGTCCCTGAATTCAGTGACTGGTGAAAGGGAAGACACCAGCTTTTTTGGATAGCTGTGCTCTATCACAGTATAAGACAAGAAGTGAATTTTTGTCTGAGAACAGGGAGTGAGGGTTTAATGGGACAGTACAGCATCTCCCTCTTTGTACAGGTAAGTACAGGTGGGTGTGTCCATCTGTAATGTCAAGCTCTGGCCACGAAGGAATGCTTTAGTGGATAATGGGCCTGTCCTAGAGCTTTGCTACCCTGAATTCCCCTTTTCTCTGGTGTTACCTCTTGGAATTCACTGTGGTAATGTACAGAGAGGCAAATGTGTTGGGCCAACAGACATTCCCAGGAGAACATCCTCCAGAGCATTGATTTATTTTAAGATGGCACTAAGTGACATCTCTCCCCAAGAGATGATCTCTGACACAATCCCATATGAAAACTCTTCTGAAAATGAATTGCTAATTGCTATTAGCCTTGATGCACCTACTCCAAGCAGTTCTTCAGACCTCTGGATCAGTGCTTCTCAAACTGTGGTTCCTGGACAACTTACATTAGAACTACATGGGGTCCTTATTAAAATACAGATCTGTGTCAAACCTAAAATCAGAATAAGAATGGGAGCCAGAGGGACCCAGGGTTAGTATTTTTAAAACAAGCTTTCCTTCGTTTTAGGTGTCTGCCCTCAGCCTTCTCAGCAAGGCAGAATCAGTCTCAGGTCTACTTGCCATTGTGGTTTTGTGCATGGTGCTTTGATTCTTTGCTAATTATGTTGCAGGCACAGTGGTGTTTGTGTTCTATTTCCTACCAAACTCAGCTTTTTGGCTGTCTTTGCTTCACCTCCCATCTTTTCTTGGCTGTTGATGCTTTCCAGGTTTCTCCCTTGAATAGCTGTATGTGCTGGAGGCTTTTCTTTATGTTGACTCATTTTAATTTTTGTCCTGATTTCTAGGATCTAGGGTCCTTTTGATCTTTCCCTTCTCTGTTTACCATGTTAATCCTCCCAATTTTAATGATGGGTAAATCAGGTAAGACTGGGCATATATTCTGTCTCTCCCTTCCCACTGTCCATTTGCAATTCCTCCAGACTGGATATGCTACTCTCTATGACTCAGAGTCTTATTTTCTCTCTGATTCCCTTTTACTTGAACCAGAGAGGGCTTTTTCTTAATTTTTGTTTTGTTTTTAGGTTAGGCTTTTAGAGGCTGCTGAGCTGAAGTTTTTCTGAATTCTCAAAACACTAAACTGCCTGTGTTCCCTCTCGGCTTTCATTTTCTAATTGGAACCAGGCACAATATTGTAACAGAGAACTGCAATTAATTTTCTAAAATAGTGGCAACTCGCACAGTACAATAACTTTGGTTGTAACCAAGTGAAAGCATAATAACAAAAATACAGAATTACTTCTGAAACCAGAAAGAGTCATATATCACATTGTTCTTCCAGTTTGTATCTCAGTAAGTGCTGTGTTACATAGGAATAGGGGCAGAAGCCTGCAACTAGGCAGGGAGGTTCAGGGACATGAGGGCGATGCTAGAGCATTTTGAGCTAGAAAGAAGAATAAGGATTTGTGCTTTCAACACAGAAGTTAACATGGACCACTCCCACCTCCCAATAAGTGGAGATTGTAGGCACATAAGTGGTTTAGTAAGAAGTGAAAAAGATTCTCATTGCCTAATCCCTGCAGGTCCTGGAGGCACTAGGAACTCGAATCTCACCAGGAGTAGTTTGCTTTTCTCTCAGGTCATTTTATTGACAGAAGGGATGACTAAGGACACCTTCATTTGACTTGGGTTGGGGAGGAAGCTCTGGAATAGCAAGTGGTTAAGCTCCCTGTTCTCCCTGGAACAGTGCTGTGGTCTTTAAGGGAAAGCCTCCAATACCTAAGGGTCAATTTTATTGAAAGCTTTTTCTTTGTGGCTGTGTGGTAAAATGGTAGCCAAGGTTGAGTGTTACCCAGAAAGATCAATAGTTTGTAGGACACATTGGAAAGAAAGTATCCATCTCTCTCACTCTCCTCCTCTTCCCCTCTCCCTTCGCCTTCTTCTCTCTTAGGTGTCTGTCCTCAGCCTCCTCTTCTTGACCTAAGAGTTTTGTGGGTTGGTAGGGGACTATCCCTTTATACCCCTTCTCCCTCTAGAGTGCTAGCAATACGCATCTCCTTTACCCTCAACAGGTTCCAGGCATCAGGGAAGGAAAGCAGATTTATTACCTTTTTTTGGGAGGGGGAGGGGATGGAGTCTCTCTGTCACCCAGGCAGGAATGCAGTGGCACAGCCTCGGCTCACTGCAATCTCTGCCTCCCGGGTTCAAGTGATTCTCCTGCCTCAGCTTCCCAAGTAGTTGGGTCTACAGGTGCCTGCCACCACTCCTGGCTAATTTTTGTATTTTTAGTAGAGACAGGGTTTCACCATGTTGGCCAGACTGGTCTCAAACTCCTGACCTCAGTTGATCCGCCTGCCTTGGCCTCCCAAAGTGCTGGGATTACAGGCATGAGCCACTGTGCTGGCCTGTTAACCGTTTTTTATAGACATACAGCCTACCCAAATCCGATTGTGCAGCAGTTCTCAATGTGTGCTCCC